GCACATCCCGATGAGGAGGTAGAGGAAATGTATGAGGAAATCTTTAAAGACATGCATTCCTCCAAAACCCAATATACGGTGTTAATAGGATACTTGAACACAAAACTAGGCTCAAGAGAGGACGGTGAGCTGAAAGTAGGGTAATTTGGAATAGGGTAATGGAAACTAAGGAGCCAGAAGCTAGGCGACTTCATGGAGAAAGAGGCATCTCTTTATGATGAACTCTTTCTTCCAGAAGCGGCCCTACAGAAAGTGGACCTGGCCGAGCCCCGACGGTCCGACAAAAAATGAGATTGACTTCATTATGACGACCAGACGACAACTGTTCAGTGATATCTCAGTGATTGCGAGGGTCAAAACTAGTAGCGATCACCGAATCGTTAGAGGCACACTTAATCTAAACGTCCATTCTGAATCTAAAGCTCCATCATCCTCTTGTTCTAATCCAAATTCCCGAAAACTTTCAGTTCGAGTTACAAAACGAGTGCCTAGAGGAATGCAATGCGATATAAATGAAAAGCTCGTGGAAGTGCGGTCGGAGCTAAGTCCTGCAAGACCCGCCGTAGAAGAACACAAAAACTCTCTGATCACGATCTTAATCTCATGATTTGACAGCATACAGGCAACCGAACAGACAAATCTCCAAATGCGGCGGTACTAACACAACTTTCAACTTTCGTCTTTGCCAGAGATCTGCTTGCCAGAAAGAGCCAACTATCGAAGCTAAAGACCGAATGTGGCATCATCGTTTTCGGGACACCTGAGATTTTGAGTGAGATTGAGAGGTTCTATAGGCAGATGTACACGTCATCGTTGGAGCTACCCGCAAGTGTGAGTAAAGATCCAAGAGTAAGTTTTCTCCGACACTATTCCAATGATATCCCGGATGTCAGTTAGAGCGAGATTAGAATGGCTCTCCAGCACCTCAAAAACGGCAAGGCCCCAGGCGAGAATGGAATTACAGCGGAGTTTCTGAAAGCGGGTGGAAAACCGGTACTTGAAGTCCTTCAGAAGCTCTTTAATTCGGTCCTCAATGGTGGCACTACACCGCAGGTGCAAAAGTGCGGAGATCTTGTTCCTCAAGACGGCGACAATGCTCTCTTGAAGAACTATAGACCGATTTCCTTCCTGAGCCGCGTCAGCATGCTGATTTCAAGAGTCATTAAGAATCGTCTCGCATGCAGACTCGACGACTGCCAACCTCCCGAACAAGCCGGTTTCCGAAAAGACTTTAGCACCAAAGACCTACCTTTTTACCAAAGACATACCCTTCGACACATTGTGCAGAAGACTGAAGAATTTAATCTGCTACTTTGTCTTGCGTATGTGAACTATGATTTCTCACACCTTTGATTCCGTCGATATTTGGGCGGTGCTGCAGTCCCTTCAGCGGTTCCAACTGGACTGCCGGTATATCGAAGTGCTGAAGTATTTCTACAGTAGGGCTACGATGGTTATCCGAGTACAGAACCAGAGTACGAAACCTATCCAACTACAGAAAGGTGTAAGACAGGGGGACATTTTCAAGCTACTGGACTGGAAAGGATACGGTTTTAAAATCAATGGCGAGTACATCACTCATCTTCGATTTGCCGACGATTTATAGTCCTTATGGCAAAATTGTTGGAGGACCTAAGCACTATACTCAATGACCTCAATAGTGTCTCCCAATCGATAGGTCTTAAGATGAACATGGACAAAACAAAGATCATGTTTAATGTCCATGTCACACCTATGCGGTAGTTGTTGGGAACACTAAGCTCGAAGATGTTGACGAGTATGCTTACCTGGGACATATAGTCCAACTAGGTAAGTCCAACTTTAACTGAGAGGTCAATCGATGGATTCAACTCGGCTGGGTAGCGTTCGGAAGATCACGACACATTTTTTCGTCAGGCATACCTCAAAACAAGATTTTTCAACCAGTGCGTGTTGCCAGTTGATATATGGATCTAAGACGTGGTCCTTCATTGCTGGCCGTGTGAGAAAGCTCAAGGTCACTCAGCGAGCTATAAAAATGACTATGCTCGGGGTTTCTCTGCGTGATAGACTTAAAAACGAGGATATCCGCAGTAGAACCAGAGTAACCGACAGCCCAAAGGATTAGTAAGCTTAAGTGGCAATGGGTCGGCCATATAGCTCGAAAAACCGACAACAGATTGGGAAGAAAGTTTCTCGAGTGGCATCCTTGTACCGGCAGGCAAATTGTAGGTCGTCAATAATATTTTTACTATTCAACCTCTGCCTAGGACATGGATACATGATGCGTACTGTGGTATTGCCTATAGTGAAGAATAAAAAAGGCGATCTCAAGGATAAAAACAACTATAGACCTATGTCGTTAGCAACTGTCATTTTAAAAGTATTTGATAGTGTGCTTAATTTGCTATTAAATAAATTTAAAAAACCATACGATAGTAAATTTGGGTTTAGACCGAAATTGTCTACAGAAAGCGCGATGTTGTGTGATAAGCTACACTGTCACTTATTACGCCAAGCTTCTTCTTTTTTTTCTAGACCACGAAAAGGCTTTTGACCTGGAATCCTACGGCTTACCGTGGGATAAACTTGAAAAGATCCAACTACCTGTGGAACTCATTAATATGTTCAAGTATTGCTATGGAAACTAGGTCAATGATGTGAGATTTTACCGACAGGGGGTTTGAGCTCGCCCACGCCCTTCATTCTGTAGGTGAATGAGCTGATAGGTGAGCTTAGCAGCATCAGAGTCTGCTATCAGCGTCAACTATATCAGTTACGCGGATGATATGGTGTTGTTGAGTGCATCTTTATGCGGTCTGCGAAGCATGTTGTAGATTTGTGAAACTTACGCCCTCACTCATGGTTTGGCTTATAACGTAAAAATACATGGTTTTTGAGACCGGGAGTAAACGACATGACATATTACCACCTATTTCACTGAATAATAATATTTTACACATAGTGTTCAGGTTTAAATGTCTTGGTCACATTCTTACTCAAAAAGCTTACAACGCCATCCGAGTACAATACAACAACGCGTTTAGGGTGCTGCAGGGAAGCGCGAGTGGCCTGCTTTTACGTGACTATGCGCTCTGGTGCTCAGGGTGCGGGGGAGCAGCAATAGCATCCTGAAAATAGTCACGATCGGGCTGAACTGCTTATACATGTGCCTTTGTAGTGCGATACCGGGTGGAATGGTGAGAAAATTACACATATTATAAATGAATTTTTTTCCACAAATATTGTAATAAATGATATTATACCTAATAATTTCTTATATTTACGCGAACACTGCACATCGAATAAAACTATTTTTACGGATTTTTTCGCGACGTTTCACGGGTCACGGGTCGATGGTCACGGTGGAACCACCCGAAACGTCGCGAAAAAATCTGTAAAAGTAGTTTTATTTAATATTATACCTACTAATAGGTAGTTATAAGTAATATTAACATAATATGAGTCTTGGTTGCTTGAATAAATGAAAAAAAAATATTTCACTTATTTTCAATTCCCGACGTTGCAATGCACCCGAACGTTGGGAATCAAAAATAAGTAAAATTAAACGCGATAAAACCCGTAAAGCATGTTTTATTAAATTTGTAGTATTCGCGTAAATGTACGAAATCTTTATGAACATGAGACATTCGATACGACGCAACTGTAACTTTCGATATGTTGTTTGTGTCTCAAAAAGTAATGACAGATTTAAACAACTTCATTTCGTTCATTGCACACTTAATTTAATATGATATTTAGACAATGATACCACAAAAACACCGTTTTATACCGACGCCGGCGTCTTATCATTAAAATTGTTTTGGACTTTGATTTAAGTATCTTTAGATCGTTATTACTACTAATTATTTTCCATAATTTATGTTTCATACCAAGCCATTTTGGTGTGATAAGAATAGGGGAGATCTTGTTCTTGACCGACGGGAGATCTACAATTTTCTTTATCATCATCAATGCCACAAAGTACGGTCCTGAGCCACCTCCACCCATCGACTTCCTGCATGTCTTAATAGGTTGTCACTATATCTAATGAGCAGCCACCCTACACTTCGCCTACCAGTACGAGATTGCCACTCGATGATATTTCTTCCCTATTGGTTGTTGGTTATCCGAGCTATATGGCTGGCCCGTTGCCAATTGTACTTCCTACTCTTGGGCTATGTCAGTTACTTTAGATCTACAGTAGATATCCTCATTTCTAAATTTATCACGCAGAGAATCCTCGAGCAAAGCTCTCTCCATAGCTCACTGAGCAACCTTGAGCTTCCTCATACAGCCAACAGTAAAGGACTACATCTTAGATACATAAGTCACCGATGGCAACGCGCACTGTTTGTACAATCTTGTCTTCAAGTTTTGAGGTATACCTGACGAGAAGTTGTGTCATAATCTCCCGAATGATTATCTGGGTCAATTTGGTGACACCGACGTGATTTACGCCTCGATGCGTTTCGTTTGTGGCGCGACGGCAGAGCCACCACACCATTAATAAAAATAAAAATAAAACTAGTACCTGATAGAAACTAAAATAAAACTATAATCGTATAATAACGAAGCCTTAATTTTTTAATAGAATAAGAGAGACAAACGAGCACACAGTCCACCTGATAGTAAGTGGATACCGTGGTCCATAGATATCTACATTTATCCTCAATTAAGAATCAAAATGCAGATGCGTTGTCACCCTTGAGGACTAAGATGGCATGCCTCGTTTCCAGTAAAAAGAGGCTCCGGTTCTCTACACTCGCTATAAGTAACACAGCAGCCTTAAACAGTTATTTTACGCTGGAATTCTGTGAGAGCGTGGTCTTACTACGGTTGAACAGACCCATTCGTGCTACAACTAATATACTCGTAGCTGCAACGTGTTTCTAACATGTAAATTTTTAATTAATATTTATTCAAATCTTTAAAAATTATAGTTATTTATAGCGCCTTGACAGTTATGAACTATAATGTTTATAAGGTACACTTACGTATAAAAGGTTTCCTATAAATACTTACTTGGGATAAGTAAGGAATAGCATTGCTTTCAAGTTCCAGTAGTAGGCGATAATGAAATTAGCAACGATCGCGCAAACTAAAAGGAAGCTTAGGACCTTGATAGCTCTGCGTGGTGACCGGCCCAAGATGAGAGTCAGAAAGCCCGTAAATACATAAAGTTGCATGTCCACCGCGAGAAACCTAGAATGTGTCATTGGATCAATGCGACAATTTTAATTGATATTAAGGTTAAAGTCCTGACCTTAAGACTATAGATTTTCATACAAAAACATTTTGATTTAATAACATTTAAATTAATAAAATGGGCTGTGTTTATTCTATTAAATTTATTGTACATCCCACAAAAAATAATATGGACCAAATATATATACAAAACCTTAAACTAGACTTTTTTTGTAAAATAAATTTTCAGTAAAAAATTATGTGTAAATATTTACATTTACTTTCTACTTCTTAAGCACTATCATTTTAACAGAATTTTATTTAATATAAATTGCTAAATAAATAAATAGTATTTATGTAAAAAACATGATTATAAAATTGATGTAAAATATAGCAGTGGTAAAGTACCATGTTTGAATCAAGCACTTTTCGTCCTTTTCAATGAAGTTGTTGATATACAGGAAATGCGCCCACCACTTATCCCTGCAGCGTGCACACTCCGCCTCCACCAATGGTTTCCATAGAGGGCCATCGCTCATGTGTCGCCACCAAGTTGCCGTAAAGCCAATCATAAAAACATTCAATGGCGTAATTCTGTCAAACAATTTAATTATTATAATTTTAAAATTTATTTCAACGCGTAAAGGAATAAGTAAAAACTGTTAATAGTAGATCTCGAATGGCTACTTTAAATTTACAACTTTCTGCTATCGGTATTATCAGATCTCTTTCATTAAGGATGTCCTCCTAATCCTTAATTTTTATCAGAACCCTGGAAGCTTGTAAGCTTATCACTTGCCATAAATTTTGCAGTAGTTAAACAAACCTGTTCGATCAGTGTCAATAACAATGAAGTTCTTAAATTTTAAGTTGTAAGTGCTGATTAATTGCGTGCTTGGCGGTGAAGGTAAAACTCTCAAGAAAACATATATGTCTGAGAAATAAAATATTTTTAGCTAAATATTAGAAACGACACGCATTCACTAAAGGGATTGCTCTGAGGAATGGTTGGGATCAATTCCTGCCGCCAAATTTTACCTACGGATATCGCTACAAAACTTACGTTACTATCCACATCATCTGGATACTTCGCTGTTCACTACTTTGCGATTTACTAGGAGTTTTCTATATTGCACGAATACTTTGTGGATTCGTTTAATAACGGCAATTTTTTCGTACCTTCAAGAAACGAGCTTGCTCCTTTTTAAAGGCCGGCAACGCACCTGCAATTCCGGTGGTGTTGCAGTTGTTCATGGGCGGCGGTCGACAGTTACTATCGGGTGAGCCGAATGCTCGTTTGACCCCTCTTCAAAAAAAATATAGGGAGTAACTTTAAAATTTTAATTTTTAATTGTTTTTGCCACATCAACAGTTTTTATAGGCCGCTGCTGGACTTAGACTTGAAGGTTTATTATATGAGAGGGGGCAAACTAACATGCAGTACACCTGATGGTAATGACTACCGCCACCCATGTACAACTGCAACATAAATTACTTACTAACGGCGTTGTAATGGCGGGTCAGTGAGAGCTTATGTAACTAATATATGTAGTGATAATACATACATACATACATATAATCACGCCTCTTTCCCGTAGGGGTAGGCAGAGACCACTTCTTTCTACTTGCTACGATCCTTACATACTTGTTTCGCTTCGTCCACTTTCATTATTCCCTTCATACATGCTCTTCGGTTTAGGGTACTCTTGACCTGGCCTTTTCTCAAGACGTCCCTGATTTGATCTAGAAACGTCCGCCTAGATCTACCCCTTCCAACACTTTCATTCACACTCGCCTTATACACCTTTTTCGTCAATCGTTCTTCATTCATTCTCTCGACATGGCCATACCATCTCAGCATACCTTTTTCAATTTATGTCACTACATCCTCTTACAGACCACGTTTCCTAATCTCACTATTTCTCATCCTGTCACTCAGTTTAATTCCTATCATACTTCTTAACGCTCTCATCTCGACTGCATTTATTCTGCTTTCATTATTCTTCTGCCATACCCAACTTTCACTTCCGTACATGAGTGTCGGAACCAACACCCCCTCATGCACAGCCAAACGAGCCTTGTTAGACACCTTCCGACTGCTCATAAAGGAGTGCAAAGCTCCATTCACCATGTTTCCTGCATTCACTCTTCTTTGGATATCACTCTCACACTTTCCATCTCTCGTAAACTTTCGTAAACTTTTAGTGATAATGCTAACTTGTAGTGATAATGCTAACATAAATAATAGTTTAGAGTTCAAGAAAACTAAAGCATAATGCTTTAATCATGAGTTGTGATCTAAGAGCATTTTTTGATGATCTTATAGAAAAAACTAGGTCATAATCATGAAATAATTTTTGTCACCGTTTGTTTGTTACATTCATAAAAATTTCAAATTTTTTAAATTATTCAGCCGTATAGAAGTGGATGTAAATTCTTTTAGTAATATTATTTCATTTATAATATAAAGTAAGTAGTAAGACATAAAAATATTGCCAATTAGTAACTAACCTTGCAATACGATTTAAAAGAAGACGTGGCAGTGAGCGAAGGCTAAGTCCCTTCTTTGGGTCTTTTTCGCTGTCGATCAGGTTGTAGGCGAGGAGAAAACTGGACAGCATGAAAAACGCCTGTACGATTACAGGTCCGTTGTAGATCAGCTTGCTAAACGGGTGTCGACTTGTCTGTTCGTAAATAAAATTGCAATTTTTAAAAGTTACTACGTGTATTATCATCGATAACACCTTGTGATGAGTTTTTTTTATGATATTTTTTTTATAAAATAAGGGTGACAAACGAGCACTCAGTCCACCTGATGGTAAGTGGTTGCTGTGACCCATAGACATCTACATCTATCCTCAATAAAGAATCAAAATGCAGATGCGTTGTCACCCGTCAGGACTAAGATGGAATGCCTCTTTTCCAGTAAAAAGTGCCTCCGGTTCTCTACACTCACCATACGAAACACAGCAGCATTAAGCTGTTATTTTACGCTGGTGTTCTGTGAGAGCGTGGTCCTTCCCCGTTCGAGCCGACCCATTCGTGCTACAACTATAATATTAATATAGCTGCAGCATGGCTCTACCACGTAAAGACGTGAAGACGTAGACGATGGACTCCATTTCGACCTAGGGTTTGCGAAATAGCAGTGCCTATACAAGTGTATTTCAATCTAAAGAGTATAGAGAACTAGTATAATTACAGATTGTGAGACATTCCATTTTAGTCCTTAGTGATAATGATTTTGTAGTCTTCTTTATTTGCAGATATCCAATCTGGTGGACTTTTGACGGGTTTTCTTTGTCACTTCAATTTTGTACAAAAATATTAATAAGAGAATAGTAAAAGCTTCACGACTATAGTACTGCGACGTCAATCCGTACCATTTACGGAACATGTTATATAACAACAAGTTCCAAATTATGAAGAAGATTATAAATATTGATATACATAATTTGAAATACGCTTATCCAAGGGCAGTTTCCAGTTTCTTTACCGTTCTAAAAGTAATGAATTAAGCTGTAACCCATGTAGATGTAGTTATTAAAGACAAATCAAACTTGCTATTCACAAACATCATCATCATCATAATTACAGCCCTTCGTAAGTCCACTGCCGATCGAACTTAACAGATGTGTGCGTGCGCAGTAAAATCAATTAAAATAATGCATTACTACGCATATTGATTTTAAAAGCCAATGAGGACAGAATGTTTCATCATTCATCATCATTACAGCCCTTCACAAGTCCACTGTTGAACATAGGCCTCCCCCAAGGTATGCCACAAAGCACGGTCCCTGAGCCACCGGCATCCATCGACTTCCTGCATATCTTACCATGCCGTCACTCCATCTAGTGGGGAGACACCCTACACTTCGTCCGTCGGTACGAGGCCGCGACTCGAGAAACTTTTTTCCCCATCGTTTGTCGGTCCTTCGAGCTATATGGCCAGCGCATTACTACTTCAGCCTACTGATCCGTTGGGCTATGTCGGTCACTCTGGTTCTACTGCGGATATCCTCATTTTTAAGTTTATCACGCAGAGAAACTATGACCATAGCCTTTTCCATAGCTCATTGAGCGACCTTGAGCTTCCTCATACGGCAGTGAAAGACCACGTCTCAGTTCCATGGGTCATCGCTAGCAAACACACACTGATTGTACAGTCTTGTTTCCAAGTTTTGTGGTCTACCAACATATTAAGTATTAATTGTTTTATATTTTTACAGCTAAACATTTGCAACTATTTTTGGTTCGTATTAAAAGAACCAGTATAATTGCAGGAATTTAACGAGCCAGTATAATTGCAGGCTTTATGACGTCCGCCTTAGTAAAACCTTAGTTCGTAAGAAACTTATTTTATAATTTTGTATTATTCTCCTACCACATGCAAAATAGCTGTGTTAGTGTACCATTAGCAATTAGATTTAATTTAAACTGCTAGTTTTAAATGTGCTGCGTATTCTTGGATTTTTTTTTATATGATAAGGGTGACAAACGAGAACACAGTCCACCTGATGGTAAGTGGTTGCTGTGGCCCATAGACATTTACATCCATCTTCGATTACGAATCAAAATACAGATGCGTTGTCACCCGTGAGGTCTAAGATGGAATGCCTCGTTTCCAGTAAACAGGGTCTCCGGTTCTCTACACTCACCATACGAAACACAGCAGCGTTAAGCTGCTATTTTACGCTGGTATTCCGTGAGAGCGTGGTCCTTCCCCGGTCGAGCCGACCCATTCGTGCTACAACCATAATATAGCTGCAGCATGGCTCTACCACGTATAACTGAATTTGAAGAATTTGGTCCTGATGATCTGTATTTCAGGCATGCCTATGCCTATGTCAGACACCAACTACTTAAATATTTCAGAATAAAATTGTACTAGTTAGTTTTAAAATTTAAAAACAGACGTTTGTTACAACATAATACAATACGGTCTCTATTGTGTGAATAAAAAATAAGAGTATTATTAATTTGTTCTATAAGGTACAGGTGTGTTACCAGTAATAACGGTGGTAGAGCCATGCAGCAGCATTTGCTGTTGCACGTATGGGCCGGCTTGAGCCTGGTTAGTACCACGACGTCACAGAATACCGGCGTGACGTGGAAGCTCTGTTTCCGCGTTTCGTCTGGTGAGTGCAGGTGACCGCAGGCCCAATTCCCCCCCCCCCCCTCCCCCATCAACATGGTAGTGGAGTTACATCATAGACTACCCCAGGAGGGTACCAGTACCCCTGGGGAATCCCTCGCTGAGCATCCACGACCATGCTATTCCACTCCTGAGCGTGGGTGCTCAGGCTGGGGAGGGGGGGGGGGGGGCGCAAGCTGTGCAACAAGACCAAGGCGACCCCTGTCACGCTATCCGTGAATTTCTGCAACATCAGGGGACTTCACTCGAACCTAAACGCCGTCCATTACCATCTCGAGACGGCGAAGCCAGCCTTGCTCTTTCCGACCGAGACGCAGGTGTCCTCTCCGACTGATACTTCGTACCTCTCCTACCCAGGATACAAATTGGAGCACTCCTTTGTGCCTCGGGCTGGAGTTTGCGTACACGTCAGAGAGGACATCTGTTCTCGACGCCTCAGCAGTCTTGAAGGTTCGGACCTGTCCATCCTTTGGCTACGCGTAGACAACGACGACCATCCGCGCGTCTACGGGTGCCTCTATAGGTCCCATAGCGGTTATGCCGAAACAGACCGACTCATCGACCACGTCCAAATGGCTACAGATTCCTTGCTACAACAGGTCCCATCCGCAGAGATCGTGATCCTTGGTGATTTGAACGGAAACCACGCCGAATGGCTTGGTTCACGTTTAACCGATCATGCGGGGAGATCTGTTTATGACTTTGCCTTGGCATATGGTCTGACACAACTGGTTACTTCGCCTACGCGTATTCCAGATGTGAAGGATCATACACCTTCCCTGTTGGACCTTCTGCTGACCTCTCATCCGGACGGATATCAGGTTTCCGTCGATGCCTCTCTTGGCTCTTCGGACCATTGTCTGAGCCGGTGGTGGCACCACACTCCGAATCATACAATGCCGTGTTTGGCATTACAGGTCGGCGGATTGGGACGGAATGCGGTCTTTCTTTGCATCCTTCCCATGGGGTCGGGTTTGCTTCTCGCCGGATGATCCCAGCGCTGTTGCTGACTCTGTAACTGATGTGGTGCTACAGGGAATGGAACTATTTATTCCATAATCTGTGGTACCCATCGGAGGTAAATCTCAGCCTTGGTTTGGTCGCTCCTGTAAGACTGCATTATGCAGTAAGCAGGAGTGTTATCAAGTCTGGGCTGCGACTTCGGCAACTCGGGATGTAAATACCAGCATACTTAAAAAGAAGTATAACTTCGCCTCCAGGTCTTTCAAAAGAGTTATTGCCAAGGCAAAGTCAGAGCACATAGGCAGAATTGGCAAGAAACTAGTTTGCCTTCCTTCGGGAACCCGTGCATTCTGGTCTCTCGCCAAGGCTGTCCAAGGAAATTTCTGTAAGCCATCACTACCATCTCTGCACAAGGAGGGCGACTCACTGGTCCACGCCGCAAAAGAGAAAGCCGACTTTTTAGGCTCCCTTTTTGCGTCCAACTCGACTCTTGATGACGGGGGGGAACACACCGCCGACCATCCCGCGGTATGAGTGCTCCATACCGGATGTGCGGTTCTCACAGCGGTCGGTTCGCAAAGCAATCCTCTCCCTGGACATCCAGAAGTCGAGTGGGCCTGACGGAATCCCCCCAATTGTGCTAAGGACGTGTGCTCCGGAGTTGCCACCGGTTCTAACGCGTCTTTTCCGGCACTCTTTTTCCCTAGGCATAGTCTCGAAATCATGGAAGACAGCTTTTGTCCACCCGATCCCTAAAAAAGGCGACCGCTCAGACCCGTCCAACTGCAGGCCTATCGTTATCACTCCCTTGTTCTCCAAAATAGTGGAATCCGTTATAAACTGCCACCTCATGCGGTACCTTGAGGATCACCAGCTGATTAGTGACCGCCAATACGGTTTTCTTCGGGGTCGATCAGCTGGTGATCTTCTGGTCTACCTGACCCATAGATGGGCAGAGGCAGTAGAGTTCAAGGTGACGGCGTTGGCCGTTAGTTTGGACATTGCGAAGGCCTTCGATCGGGTTTGGCACAAAGCGATTCTTTCGAAGCTCCATTCCTAGGGGCTTCCCGAGAAATTGTGCAATTGGATCACCAGCTTTCTTGCAGATCGGAGCATCAAGATCATCAAGGTCGACTACAAGCCTATTAACGCTGGTGTTCCACAAGGCTGCGTGCTATCACCAACGCTGTTTCTTCTGCATATCAATGATATGTTGTAAACCTGTAGCATTCATTGCTATGCGAATGACAGCACTGGTGATGCTTTATACACCGGCCGTGCCAATATTTCTCGAGAAAACGTCGCCGAGTACCGGAACAAACTTGTGTTTGAAGCCGAGACTTTGCTGGACAAAGTCTCGGATCAGGGGCGGCTAAATCTAGTGCAGTTTAATCCTCAGAAGACACAAGTTTGCGCGTTTACCGCTAAAAAGAACCCCTTTGTTGTATCTCCTCAAGGTACTCCCCTTGTTGCCTCAGCCAGTATCGGAATCCTCGGCGTCGACATATCGAGTGAAGTGCAGTTTCGTGGTCACTTGGAAGAGAAGGCCAAATTGGCCTCTAAAAAGCTTGGTGTGCTCAGCAGAGCGGGACAGTATTTCATGCCGGCACAACGCCT